CTCCGTGTGCCGGCACTCGCTTCAGCCCAGCAGCAGCCCCCACCCTGCATTAGGGGTTTATCCTGTTAGGATACAGTCAAGTATTAAGTGCTCGTCTCCGTTTCTCCGTTCTGGTTAACTCACTTATTCTGAATAGATGTTTTATGAAGCTGATGTCCCTCAACAGTTTCTTTAAAACAAAACGCTGAATGCATGCTGAAGTGTTTTCTAAAACTTTTCTAACTAGGAACAAAATGACAGAAAAAGAATTCCGTGTCCTCTTGATCCGAAACAGTGAGTATATGTAAATGCTTTTCCCGCTCTTTGTCAGTATTCGCACGATACTTACTTTTCTCTCCATTTGGCTTTTAGCACTGTATATGAAGACCAACTACAAAAGCATTTAAAAAAATGCAACTCAAGAGAGAAGCCAAAGCCTGTAAGTGCAGTGTTATTTCAGCACATCCTCTCGGATTTAAGACCTTGAACATTGTAGTCCTGCAGAGAATTCTCTGTGCTGACAGCAGCTGTGAGCTGCACGGCAGCAGGTCTAGCAAGGCAGGATGGAAGCTCTATAAGCACTTGCTGAAATGCAACTCACATTCCAGTCCCCTCATATTCTCTGCCCCGTCTCATTGTAATTTGGTACACTTTTTCAGCTCTTGGTTACAAATAAAAATATTGAATTCATTTTTCTCAGAAACGCACGCAGGGAAGAGGCTCTCACAACGCCATTCATTTCAGAGGCTGGGTGAGAGGTTCTCCTGGCAAAGCAAAACCTGCAGAGAAGCTCTGGGTATCCCAGCCAGCTGTCCACTGCAGCCAGGCTGGCAGTGAGCCAGGGAAAGCTTGGCTGACAGCTGCTGAGGGAAGCAACAGGACATGTGTTTAAACAGCTCTTTCAAGAAAGCAGAGGATGGCATCTTTATTGCCTGCCTTTCTGCCTTATTAGAATTGCACCTTTAGTATTCCCTGGGAAACCTGAAAATGGTCTCTGGAATCTGTCTAGTAAGCCCTGACTGCTTAACTCTTATGAGCATGTTCAGTCTTGTAAAACTGTGTCAGAAGAGTCATTTCTGGCTGGGATTCAGGATCAGACTATAGGAAGGAAAATTACTTGGAAAATCTTACTTTGCAGTAGATTCCTATTGCTACCTACCTTACCATAAGAACACTGAAGAATTTAGCTATTTGCTTCCTGGTAATTAACTGAATCAAATTTCTTTTCTTTTTTTTTTTTTTTTTTAAGGTCTACTTTGTTCAAGATATTAATGCTGGTTTAAAAGATGTAGCAGAAATATCAGAAAAACAAGTGAGTACATTATTTGGTTTTAGGTTCAGTCCTTACATTACATGTTGCAATTTATGACTACAAATATACAGAAAATCTCAAAGGTCTCATATTTATTGGTGTCACTTTTTTCCCTTAAAAAGGTTCCTCTATCTTCTCTATGTATTGAAGAGCTGCAGAATTTAATTACCAGGTTGAAAAAAGCAAGTAATGGTGAGCTTAATACTAAATACTAAAAATAAGATGTTTTAAATTGAATTGATTAAATATTCAATTGTTATTTTTGTTGTTAGATACCTGTAAAAATATGAGAGAGGTGCCATAAAACACATCTGAAATAATTATCAGGCAGACCTCCAATAGCTAAATTTTACTCCAAAAAGTAAACTAGACTGAAAGAATGATAAAACTCCAATCCTGTGCTCCCTTCCTTTTGTTTTTTTTTTTTTTCTCACTCAGATACCACTACAGATAACAGTACAGCTCTGTTATAAACATATGAAGATAGCTTTACGCTCCCATCAGACTGTTTTGTTAGTGCTACAAACTGAGCTCATGTCACAATTGTAATAATGTGTGTTACAAACTTGGAAATTCAAAACCTATACCTAAAAGTTTTGCATTTGCTTCCAGGCCTGGAACTTCATCTTAAGGAACAAATACTGTCCCACCAGGCTTTACAAGAAGCCTTAAGTGACCCAAAGAATGGGGAATCTGCTTTCAAACACCTGAAACAACAGGTTTGGTCTGATTTACTAATAACTATAGAGGAGTTTGGACATGGAGTTGTGCTGCTGTAAATTTGAGAGACTGGGTGCATAATTCCAGTTGCTTCCCACAGAGGAAATATGATAAAACAGAAGGTATAATCCCTTTCCTCTGTATACACATCCTCTTTTCCTTAATCCCTCACTGAAAGGAAGGCTTAAAAAAGTCTTCTGCAGTTTGGTGAAGGAATAATTTTTCTATAAGGCATTACAAAACACAGGATATATATTTTCTTGGTTCACAAATAATCTTTTGATGTTTGTAGGCTTCTATTTTAGGTAACATGGAAAAATTGCATTTACTTGGTCCAGGAAGGTGTTTTGTTGAGTTTGGAGCTGGGCGAGGAAAGCTGTCTCATTGGATTGATACTGCCTTAGAGAATGTTGAAAATGTTCAGTTTTTGCTTGTGGAAAGGGCAACCACAAGATTCAAGGTAAGAGGATATTGTTGCATTAGTAAAGTATCATTTTTAAACCATTGCCATTGAAGTTGTTAGTATTTCTTTTTTCTCAGTACTTTTTTCTCAGTACATTTAAATTTTACAAGTTTTATATTCCATACTTCACCAATAGCAAATTTATTAGGAAAAAATCTTGATGTTTAATGTTGGAAATTCACAGATGTTGACTTGACAAGAAAAATGTCTGGCATTAATACCTGGAGCAAAATTATAGTTATTAGTGGCCAGCCCTATGCCATCTCTTGTTCTGTTTCCATCCAATAGGTGGATGGAAAACACAAAAGGAGAGATTCTGCATTTGAGAGGCTTCAAGTGGACATTCAGCACTTATGTTTAAGTAAGTTCCTTCTTGGCCTGTGTCATTCTGAAGTAGAGGCTTATTTTTAAATTTTGAATTGGGGTTCCTGCAGTTTGTGTGTAACATGCTTACATGTACTTGGTTCTGAAGATTATTCTCAGTGGTTGTTTGGACATGTTGATGCTGTATGTATACACATATAGACACACAGCCATGTGTGAATATACATAAGTACACATATACATGTATTTTAAATGGACTTTTAAAGTTTTCTACTTTTTATACACTCATAGGACATTATAGGTGAGAAAGCACCAAAACAAATACATTTTTAAGGTTTTTTAGCACTTGCAGAATTAAACATGTTTGCATTATTTTATATGTAGAATTAAGCAAGTGATGCACCATCAATGCTGCAGAATTTGTGGGAGCACCTGTCAGCAGGAGATGCATTAATGTCATATTTACATTTCAAAGGCAGTGTAGAAAGGCTGAAACGGTTAAATGTGCTTCCCAGCCACTGCATCCTATTCTTTTGATTTGTCTTAACAAAATGTGCAAATCAATGTATTTTTAGTAGTGGCAAATATTTATTTCTAAGTGTGCTGAAATTATATTATTCAGAAAAAACAGAGGTGCTGGGGTAGTTGTGGATTGGATGGGGGTTTGTTGGTTGTTTTTATTTTTTCCCTCCAGATAAGGTACCTGTTTTGGAGAAGAAAAAACTACCAGTGGTAGGAATTGGGAAGCATTTGTGTGGTGCTGCAACAGGTATGAATTACAGATGTGTGAACTGCAGAAAGTCAGGATATAAACCTTACACTCTAAATACAAATTCCAAATTGTCCTTTTAAGCTGTTCTTGCCCTCTAACCATTTTTTGGTGAACACAGTAATTATATTGTAAGTATATCTCTTGACTCCAGTGGAATAGTAAAAGGATAATAGATGTAAGGATGCTTTAGGCAGAAGTGAAGTCCTTCTTGGCTTTAATAGATTAGAACAGAGCACAGTGTGTGGTGGCGTGAGCCATGTATTTGAGAGTACTTTTTTAGCACAGTTGCCTCTTCTTTGAAACAATTTTGTTTCTAAAATTTTATTGGCTGTCTGAATATGTATCCCAGACCCAAATAAGGTTGTGTTTCTCTTCTGATAACTTTAAACTAACACAGTTTTTCTAATGTTATATGGCTACTAGGTAGATTACGACATATTACGACATGTTTTCAAAGCATGTTTTTAATTTTTAGTTACCATTGAACTTGCTTTTTGGCTTAGTTTGTGATGTGTAATTTTATTTTTCTTTGTGGGAAGCACATTCCCAACTATGATGCAGCCTGTATAAATAATGGCATGGTGTTTATGGATATTTTTTGTTGGGGGACATGTATTTGTTCATTCCCAGATCTTGCTTTGAGATGCTTGCTTGAAAGTTACACCACTTGCTGTGGTGGAGAAGATGAAGAGCCTGCACCAAAACGCTGCAGGGCTGCTCAGACAGAGGTGGCTCCTCACAAATCTGCTGGTAATGAAAGCACCACAGAAGACCATAAGCCTGTAGCTGGAATTGTTATTGCTCTCTGTTGCCATCACAAGTGTGACTGGACACATTATGTAGGCAGAGAGTTCTTTAAATCAGTAGGACTGGGACCAGTAGAATTCCATTATTTTCAGAGAATGAGTAGTTGGGCCACTTGTGGCATGCAAGAAACCACAAGCAAAGCTTCTACAAGTGAAGTCAGTGAAGATCATACTATTGACACAGAAGAACACGAGCACACGCTCAGCAAGACAGCAAGTGGTTCTGATACTTTACAAGGGTATGTACATTTTTTTTCCTAGCAAATGGACTCCAGCAGAAAAGCTATGTATAGTGGCACATTAAATTGTTTTGGGCCCTCAAAAGGACTAATTTTGCAGAAACATTTAATTAGTAAACTTACAGTAAAGTTTACTTATTAGTAAACTTTAAAAATACTATTTTCATGGACGTACATTTCAAAATATTTCAACAGTCACGCTTACCTGACCGAAATGAACTTAAAATTATTTCAGTAGTTTTTCTAAGCTTAACTACTAATGTTAATTACCAGAACTATTTTCTGACAGCTGTTCATTCCTTCCTTTATCTGGAACCAGGGTACTGAGTGTTGAGGAGCGGAAGGAGATCGGCTGCCTCTGCAAACGGCTGATTGATCACGGGCGCATTGAGTATTTACAACAGCACGGATACAAGGCTGCACTGCAGTATTATACAGAGTCTGCTGTGTCCTTGGAGAATGTCCTGTTGACAGCTGTCCCAAATCCTTCTTTGATACCAGAGCCAACTATATGACAGGAGATAGATTTGGAATTGATAGGGAAAAGAAACAAACCCTATAAAACTCATCTGGGTTTTTTTTTAAAACGACTTCATTTCTTACAAAAAAAACCTTTTACCATCTTTCCTGTACCCAAGAAAAGGTCTTATATTTTCCAGTTTCACTGGGAATTACAAATATGCAAACCAATTCTCATCAATGGAAAAATAAAATCCCTAAGAATATTTGAAACCTGTTGTAGCCTCTTTCCTGCGAAGAAGTGTACTTGATATTTTCTTCCATTCACAGTTACATTCTTTATTCATTAGGATTCATGACAGGAGGAGAACCAGAAGTACAACTTTCCACATTTCCTGAAAGACAATAGGTTAAAATAAGATAAGTTGACATGCTTTATTCTCCCTTTGAAGTTCAGAACAGCTTTGTATTTCCTCTTAAAATATTTAAGTAGGCCTAAGTACTTTGATCAGCCTGTGCTGCTAGAGAACCTATTCAGAAAAAAAAAAACTTAAGTCTGAAGTGTCGTCTTGTATATCTTTGCTAATTTGATAATTCATTCATGAACTATTGATAAGAAAAAAGCTGGCTTAGTGTTCTAAAACAAGAGCATTACATTCATTTTTTTAAACCTTCACAAAACACAGAATGAAGATCATTTTATATCTGCAGTGAAGTGCTCGCTGCAAGTAACAGCTGCCAACTGAACATCTGTTCCAAAGTGCTTATTTGGGTCTCTTACTGCAACATTAAAGCTGTTACTCCAGAGACAATGAACAGCAAATTTTTGTCATGTTTTAGAAGAGGGATGAAACTGGGGGTTTTTGTTTAAGTGACTGTATTTTGTGTCAGGGAAAGCAATTTGTGAGAAACATCTGTTTATCAGGTGTTGATAGTTCATTGCTAAAAGACGTATCTTGGGAACATACACATTTCTCCCTTAATCTTCCTCTGGAAGTACTACCTGGACAACATCCAAAAATAGGAAAAGTTGAGCTTCATGAATTAAAGGGTGCTAGAAGACCTTCACTATGTAAACCAATTAAATTGCAAATACAAAAGACAGTCATCAGCTTCTCTTTATCCATGGTGTTGGTAACTCAGGCACATTTCTTACAGTGCTCAGTGTTCCAGGATGTTCCTACCAGAATCTGTGCTGTTTGTTGGAGACCGACTGTGCCAACTCCTGTTAAAAGTGCCACTGTCCTCAGTAAAAGCCTGTTTACAGATTTTTTGGAAAACATTACTCATTTATTAAAAAGGTTATTCATGTTTCATTTTTATACATATCCTAGATTCTATTTATCTAGTTTATCCCTTTCTTCCTGACTATATTGTGGAGAGATCAGAATTAATAAAAAAGCCATACCTGTTTTCTTCAGTGATTCCTGGATATACATGTGCATGAAGTCAATGCCAAACATTTCCTGTTGCTCCTCCTCGTCTGTGTTCTCACATGGAGGGAGTGTTACCTCTAGCTCCAGTGGGTTGTCTCTGAAGTTGACAAATCTAGGAATTCACCAGAAAAGGTTAATCCTGTAGTAAGTTTTGTCCAGAGAAAATAATTCTTTTGAAAATGAATTAAGATTTCTCAAAAAATGTTTTAAGCAGAAGGAAATTCTATTAAGTAAACTCACTAAACTCTATTAAGTAAGCTAAGAAGATGCTTTATAACAGTAACTGATTGTGGTGGGAAAAAACATTGTGGTCTTCATCGTTCTGTCTTCAGTTTCTGACCCCACTGTCAGATGTATTGAGCTTTCACAAACAGGTGAGTAAATGAGAACAGTGCAAGTGGCTGCTCCCAGCTTTGCAAGGCAGGAGCCTTTCTCTCTTTATTCTTGTTCCACCCTCAGGCCTATAATTGCATATATTTAGTTAAGGAGGTTCTTCCAAAAGAGCTGAGAACAAGAATTGTCTTCTTGGGTTAGACATGGTTTATGCAGCCTAGCGTTCTTTCTCTAAAACAGCTAGCATCCAATAACCCAAATGAAAATGCTAACAACAGAGAAGTTTCTATCACAGTACACTAAGGAGCAGTTGAGTAGTTCAAATTCTACCAATTAAGAATTTACATTATTTTTTATTTTTCATACCAAGTACATGACAGTTTCATCCATGTCCTTAAACCTAATAAATTTTGTTTAGTTCTGAATGCTTGAATTCTTTGGTTCTACTTTTTGTCATTTTAATGCCTGCCACATTTTTCTGTAAGCTCTTGCCTTTAGAAAGTGATATCAAAGGGTAATTATAGTGGGAGGGCTATGAAGTGAGAAAATGTATTGTAGTTTTCATGGGAGACTGTAGCTATCATAATTTACTTCTTTAACTAAGTACTTCACTACACAAAGCTTACTTCACCAGATCCTTAATTGTTGTGGATCTGTGTAATTATGCTGATTTATTGTATCCACCTGTACAACTGTGACAATGCCTTTTCCTCTCCCTTAGTATCACTCTATGATCTACAACTCAAGGGGGCTTAAAAAAGTATTTTCTGGTTATTTTCATTTATATTACTGGTGTTTTTTCTTACCTCAGATTTGTCATGTCCTTCATACAAGCTGGAATATCCTTAAGTTTGTTGTTGCTAAGAACAAGAGTACTAAGATTTTTCATATTACCAATGGTTTCTGGCAAAGAGTTTATTTCATTCCTTTGGAGCCATAAAGTGTGGAGGTTTTCCATTCTGAAAAAAAGGTATTTGTGCAATAAATCAACCTTCATAGAATTAATCCTCTCAGTCATTACTATAAAATTAATTTTTCAGCCACATAAAGGACTCATAATGCAACAAGTCTCAAAGGAAACCCCATATCCAAGATAATTACCTAATCTCTGTTCAAAAATGTGATTGGCAATAAATATTTAACCTTATAGTTGATACTGAATTTATTGTTAATTGAATGGATTATTCCAGTTTATCCAAAACATAACATTAGGGCTGATAAAAATCTTGACTTTGGAGTGAGGTTAACATAAAAATTATTGTTTGAAGTAGTGTTTATTAATTAGAATTTCAATGCAGTGGAATTGAGACTAAGATGAGCTTTGAGCTGTATTTACCTGTCAATTGTGTCAGGAAGCTCCTGGAGTTTGTTTCCCCCCATATCTAACCATTCGAGATTTGGCATGTTGAGGAGAGCTGAAGGGATGGCAGTAAACTGATTCATGCACAGATCTATGTGTGACAGCTTCTTTAAATCACTGAGCTGAAAAGAAGGGGAGATTTAATGTAACTTTGTGTAGCTGCTGCAGCAGTACAGCAGTAATCTAGTAATGCTGAGAAACATTACAGCACATTTTGGAGCCAGTAAACAGAATGGTTTTGAGTTCCAATAGCTGATAGTACCTGACAATAACAGTTTTGCCTGGAAGGTAGATAGGTTGGGAGCTGATAAGGCAGCAGAACTTTACCTTCCACCCAGTAGTGAGTGCCATAACTGCTGACTACAATTGACTACAATAAGTGAGTAGTTGTTTTCATTCTCTCATAATTGTTTTCAACATTTGAGAACAACAATTTTTCACCTCTGCACAGGCAGTTGTATAAATCACACAACCCTTTTTCAGATCTAGCTGTTCTGGTAAAGATGCTTACAGCTGCCATGTGGCAGCTGCCATTCATGTGGTATGAATTTGTACTCTCAACCATAAAAGCGAACTTCTCTGTGCTAAGGCATCAGATTCTTAGTGGGGTAAATCAGTGATGATATCCAGCCTAAACAAATTGATATGGAGTGTGTCACTGCCCTCCATGCACTGCCAAGTCATTTATCTGGCCAAAATAAAGACTGGCTCCTTCAGCTACTCAGGTGTATGTATGTGCTTCTCCTGTGGCTTCAGTTTGACCAGTTGAAAGGTTGTTCACATCAGTGTGAAGTACTGTGAAATCACAGCATCACAGCAAATCTGATAACAGAAATGCAACACGTAACGACAATTGGCTTTGGATAAATTTACAATATGCATCAAACAAAACCAAACAGTCTGTCAAAACCTGAGGAGGAAGATCACAGATATTTCTGTTGACAGCCAGTTCCAATCTTTCCAGACTGATGCAGTTACTTATTTCCTTAGGAACAGATTTTATTCTGTTGTAACTGAGAAGCAGCTCTTGGAGGCTGGTCAGCTGGCCTGCAGAGAGTACAAATGAGAAATGTTCATGTTTATTCTATTTGAAGCACAAATATTCTATTTGTTTTGCCTTATCCTTTTACTCTTATAAAAATGAAAAAATGTGTTCTCACAAAACAAAACAAGCAAACAAAAAAATTATTGAACTGCAAATAGCAGCACCTCAGGACTCTTTAGTACAGGACTGCAATCTAGTTCTGCAATCTAGTTGAGTGCTTCAAGAAAAAAGCCAAAACCAAAAACTGTGACTAGGATACTTCTGCTGTGGACTCAGAACATGAAGTCTGTTTTTCAGTATCACTTTGCTAGCTGCATTCTGATGTCTAGTCCCTGCTGTGCAAACAGGTCTTTTTTTTTTGTCATGGGGAGCTTTCATAGAGATATGTCTCTTCCATCCAGCCCCATTTTTAGTTTATATGGAATTTATGGTTTGGAGATCTCTATCTCATTGTCAGATTTAAATAATCTGTTTTCTTACTCCCCAACAGACAGGTTTATTAGACAGGCAGAGGGCACAAAAATGGTACATTTGTGTGAGACCAATTTTCTTAGGAAAGCAGCTTAAAATAAAAAAAGCACAGCTCACCAATTTCTTTAGGTACACTTTCAATTGAGTTCCGGGATAGATCCAGAACAACAAGGCTGTGAAATCTTCCAATAAACTGAGGAATTTTCTGTAAACTAGTTCTGTGAAGCTGCCATTCCTGGAGATGGATTAATTTCAGTAAGCATGAAGGTAATGTCTGCAACAAGAAACACAAACCAGAAGAAATTTAATTTAGAATACAGGCTGAGGCAGAAGTTTTATTTGAAACACTAACAGTCTGTCCTTTTTCTTAAGCTATACTGCAACATGTAGGTTACAAAATGAATCCTGATAACTGTTTACTCAAATATGCTAGAAATAGTAAGCATAATTAAAATATGTATGATTTTAATATCATACATATTAGGAAAAGGTTTACATCAATATATTAGGAAAGGGTTCTTCCCCCAGGTGCTGGTTGGGCACTGGAACAGGCTCTCCAGGGCAGTGGTCACAGCACCAAGCCTGACAGAGTGCAAGAAGTGTTTGGACAATGCTCTCAGGCACATGGGGTGACTCTTGGAGATGGTGCTGTGCAAAGCCAGGAGTTCAGCTCAATGAACTCAGCATATTCCATGATCCTGAAGTGAACACCAGTGTGGGTTGTCATGCTGATCACACATTGAACCTTCCCTCTTTTGGCTCCCAGGATTTAGATACCTGCACTACTGTCATTGACAAGTTTCAGGCTTGTTTTTATTTCTTCTTTTTTTTTTTTTTTTTTTTAATTCAATATAACTGAAGATGAAACTGCTCTGAATAGACTTTTGCACAGAAGACTGGGTCTGGCTGTTGTGTTCTCACTGGCCTCAACACAAACTAATTCTCATCACCTTCTAGGAGCTGGTCAGTGCATTTCTGCATGGCTCAGAGCACTGACAGCCTTCACTCTGCCAGCAGTAACAGCAGATTAGCTCTGCACATGAGAAACAACAGTAGGAGTGTTCTGGGAATCTACTGGTTCATTTTCACTCTTAGAAAGAGAAAATAAACAGTAAGAGATATCTTCATGCACCCAAGCACAGAGGGTTTTCATCTTGATACATTTCAGTAGTTCTGGTTAGTGTGAATGTTAAATGAGAATTTACCTAATGAAAATCATACTTTGCAGTGAAAATAGTTTCTAATGCAGAAAAGTCTTTTGGGCTTTGATTTTGCAGAGTAATGCTTAATATTCAGGCCTAAAAACCACTCAGCTTGCTTTTATACTCACAACAGTGTGTCCCAATTCACCGTTAGCAAAGCACAGTGAACAGTTAACAGAACACAAATAGTAGCACTGTAAGTGTAAAGTTGTAAATAGTAGTTCTCTAATGCATCAGTCATTCAACAAAAGCAGCATTCATTCCTATCAACCCTACCTTCCATTCTTCTTCCTCTATCCTTAAAATTGCTCTTCCACCTTCATTAATAACTTTTTCTTTAAGCTTTGCTAAAGCAGCTCTCTCCTCCCAGACAAGCAGTAGCCTACAAGGGAAAAAAGATCTGTCAGTGGTGCCACAATGAATACAGTCAATAATTGCTATCCTATCTATTTTCTGGAAAAATAATTATTGTCCAATTATTGTCAAATAACATTTTATCCATTTTATCTGGATGTTAATATACTATCAGTTGGAGAGAAGAAAAGCCCTTAATGTTTGGCTGAGGTAATTTATAGGAATTCTATTTTACAGTTCTTTAAATTTACATTCAGAAGGAGGACATAATTCACTTTCAACATGTTGCAGCAGGGCCACAGAATATAAAGTCATGTGGAATTAAGTTCTAAAGCACATTTTGAAGTAGACTCCTAAAATGAAAGCCTTCCAGTCCACCACATATAAGTGCAAGAAAATAGGTCAATCAGCTTCTTTTAGCTTGATTTCCAAAGGGTACCTAAACAAGAGTTATGACAAGGTCGTTCTCTGTCTTTCTGCTTGTATTCTCCATGAGTAACTTTTGAATTTGTTGTTCCACTTCAAACACATCTGATAAATTAGGAGTACCAAAAATAGTATCCTAAATCTCTTAAAATTTCATTTAATTGCGAGCCAGACAGAAGACCAAGCAACCTTGTTAATACCTCAAAGGAGAAGAAAGCATAACAAATCTTCACTGGTTAGAATATTTACAGAGCAGAGGATTTTAGTATCTGAGTTGAGGGGATTTTATCTATATACTAATATTTTTATCACAGATACTAGATAAATTCTAATCACTGGGATTCCTGCTGGAGTAACAACTAAGGAATTAGTGTCTGCATGAGTTTGAAGAAACCAATTACAGTCTTCTGCAATGCAACATATGGTCTAGCTTTTCACATACTTAAAGAGTTACAATTTACCTACCTTCCTGCAGACCTCTGCCTGAATTCCTTTTCTCTCCGTAATTCTTCATTTATCTTGTGTATTCTCACTTCCCAGAGTGTCTTCACAGCAGAGAATGTTCCCAAGCAAACTGCAGTTTCAGCCATGATCCTTTACATGTTCAGATTTGCTTGCAGGAATCTGACTGAATTTCAGGCTCAATGCACCATTTCAGGTATGGGTTCCCAGATGGGGACAGTGACGTGAAAAATAAAATACTGCAATGCCCACTTCATTATGTTATCAAATGAGTGAATGTAATGAACTGACAGCATTTTATCAACTGCTTTCTCTTTATACAACAAGATAATTGCACCTAGTTACATTCTATTATAATAAGAAAAGGTATTTTTGCAATCTCTGCATTCTTATTCACTCAACAACTGCTTCTCTCAGTTCCTTCAATGGTAGGCTGTGGCCATAATTATTAAATGCAGATTTGAGCATTCATTCCCATCCCAGGAAGACATTAAACTGCCACCTGCAACCTAAGGCAGTTCAGTTCTGATAGCTGCATTCTGACACCTACCTGATATAGATACTTGTCACTGAAGGAGTTTTGCACTTTACAGAAACTGAACTGTTCCTGGAAATTACTTAGTATAGTTTATTTGCATTCATTTTCTTCATAGCTTAACTCATTACAATGCACGTTACAGTTAGCAATGCATTACTTTTAGGAAAATGCATTTAAATCCTTCTGATTTCTCTTTGAAAGTTTGTGTATCCCTGAGTGTCAGAATTCACATTTAAAATGAAACTCAGTCTAAAGTTTTGAAACTATGTATCCTTTGTATGACAATTAATACATATTGTCCTGAAGAGCAGCAAAATAGGATACTCACTCATCCTAATCACTGCATCCCTCTAAAAACCATTCTTATTGCCATTACTGGAGCCAAGATACCGATATTCAGGTAAGTTTGCAGGGCTAAACTTCATACCAGCAGCAGTGTGCTCTGAACACTGATGATCTGAATGCTCCCTTTCTACCTTTTTTCTGATACTTGTAGTGGCAAGTAAGAAAAATGTCCTATATGTGCCTTAAACTAAAAAAAGTAAGAATAACTTTCTTCCAAACAAGCAGGTAGGTAAAAACAAAAGAGGAATTTCATGTTTTTTCATACATATATTTCCCTACAATAACTGCTGCAGGTCTGTCTTTTAGAACCAATCTTTTCTTTCATATTTGTTATAATTTTGTGTGGCCTGGATAAGCCACAATTGCTTAGTGGACTATTTTTGTGTTCAAACTGGCAATCATTCTATTTTATGTTTACTATATCTTTTGCTAACATACTTATTTGTAAAGTCTGAAATTAAGTTAAAATGTGTAGGCAAATCAAATGTAAAATGTCAGGATTGCTTCCTGTTGTAAAGACAGCATAAAATCAAATTATAAAGCTTGAATAAAGAAGAATCTGGTCTAATACACTAATATTTATGATTCTTATGTTTGTTAAGGAAAAATGGCAGGATTTGACAAGTGACACAAATGGCAACCCCAGTGTGGCAGTGCAGTCTGGCCTTTGGGCTCCTACAGGGGGATTGGATTTTTTCCTGTAAAGAGAAGACTGTATACTTTTTCCCTCCCCCACATAAATGTGATCACATTTACTAGTTTGAAGGATTAGCTTCTCTTTCAGTGGTCAGAGTAACTACCCTTCCCAGTCTCCATCTCAACATGCAACAGTAATGCTATGTATGCATGAGGTTTTTTGCTCCAGTCAGAGGTTCAATTCAAATTGCCTGAATTTTTTCAAGACCAAATTTCTATTGAGATCAAGTGATTAGCTAATCTATAATTTCTTGTTGTTTAAAGACATTTTTTGAACTACAAGCCCTTTTAGGTAGAAAACTAGAAATCTTTTTATATAAATTGTGCAGAAAAGAGACATTTGTTAATAGTTGTACTACCAAACCCAGTATCATACTATACAGTCAAACTAATACTTATTCTAGTAAAGCTTAATCTGAGCAACTCTCTTTTGCATATCATTCAACAGATACTGCCTTAGAAGTATGAAATATCAAAGGACCTAAGTATATTACTATTTTCAGGATTTCTTTATATAACAGGATTCCATCAAAAAGGTCTTGTCCTTAGATCTCACTATTTGTCAAGAAAATAAAAACCATAAAAATCTTGCCATCACAGCCAACAATTCAGAAGTGAATTCACAGAAGTGGCTGTAAAACAACTACAAATTCACTCCCAAGTAATCAGATCTCCCAACAACTTCACATCCAAGCATCAGAAAGAGTTTAACAACAACTCACCTTAATTATTCAGTGTTTTCAAGGATTTTCTGTGACTCACTGCTTTCTGGACAAGAGTGGAGATAAATTATGAATCTTGTCTGCATTACCAAAGCCATTTAAAACTCTCACTCAGACTCCAATGCAATGTCAGTCTAGTTCTAATTTTAACCTATGCTGAGAATAGAAGGCATCACATGAGGCATTTTGCAACCCCCCCAAACATTTGCCACTGTTGAAGTCTTCCCATTTTGCTGAGTGTGATTGGGCTCCCCTAAACTGGACTCTATTAACAAAAATTGTGAACAAAGAACAAAGGAATATTGTTATGCTGCACAATAAGTCTGTTTTGAATTAAAAATTACAATTAGAAATAAAAAAGGCCAGTATTGAATTAAAAATTATTGCTTTCTTTAGTAATGTTTCTCTGCAAGGTAACTGAGCTTCAAAGTGCTATTAAACAGCAACATTCACTAAACATACAAGAAAAGGTATTACATCACTAAGTATTTTACTCATTACTTTTGCCAATGCTGAAGAATTCTCTTGCTGAAGAATTTTACTTCAAATTTTCAAAGTCCAGGCAGAAAAGTAATCTTTACCAGGATGTGCAGAGGGGTTATTACTCACCCCTTTTCATGGTTCCAATAATGAAAAATATTTAACATTCTATTTCTTCAAATAGCCCTTGGAGAAGATAAAAGGAGAACAAGTCTGTCAGAATCTTTTACTTCAATCAAATGGGAAGAGAGACAACAATAACTACAAGGTTACTATTTGAGGCAGAAGCCATAAAACTGGATAGTTCTAACCAATTGAGCTGGAGTATAAAATGTGAAGATAAAATTTTAAAAGTATCATTAATTTGGTTTTAATTCTACCACACAGAATTTTATAACAAAAAAAAAAAACAAAAAAAAACCAAAAACAACCCTCTCCAGTCCACATCCAACTGAATACATTAATACCATTACCTACTTAAAAAGACACTAAGTACTTTAGCTTTCAATCTTCTCCTTGTGTAAGTAAAATTATTCTGTCTTAAGTATTTCAAATTAATTTTATTGCTTTCTTTCATACACTTCTATTTCCTCAATTTATTTTCTCAATGATCATCAGATTAAAAAATATCCTAAGCCTTTAGACTAAGCCCTTACCACAAGAATATACTTGTAGGAAAGTAGACATTAGGCTGTATTCTTCTGGTAGCCTTGAGTACAGTATGTTCTTTAAGGCAAGAAGAGAGTTTGAGTCACCCATACAGGATTGCCTGCATAAAATTCACAAATAAAAACAACTTTTTGTGGCTTTACATTTTTTATTAGGAATAAATAAATCTGATAAAAATGAAATAGATGATAAGCATGATATAACAGTCAAACTTGGCAAGAAATAACCTTTATATAAAAGACCCTTATACCACAATAGAAATGTTAATAGCACCTTACATGGATGCGCCACACTCCATACGGTACCAGCTTTTCTCTAATTCAGTCTCAGCATCATGGATAGCAGGGATTCTACCTCTGGTAGCCTGTCTCACATCTTCACAGCTAAATGCAATAGACACCTTTGGTCTACCATTTTGAAGAATGCTCCTGTTTTTGATATATCTAAAAAAAGGAGAAAATGTCCATTTTGTGCGTTACAGATTCATTTTTAAGGCTATGTAACTGTCTTTTCTCATGTCTGTGTGAAACTTATGTGTTTAGAAGGTATTTATATCCAACAGTTTTCTTCATATCTCCCATTAAATCAGCAGTGCAATCTTCATGATCTGTTTATTTTACCTTAAAGCCACATAAGTTTTCTGCTCTAAAGTCATTAACTTGAACCTATTCATTATGTGCCTCATGTCTGAGTTTAAGAAGTCCTTATCTCACAGTATTTTTTAATATCCATTTTTTGTTGAATCTGATTAATCTATCAGATTCTAGTATCTGAATATCAACAACAGAATGCAAGATCATTATCAGCTTACTGTCAGGCTTACCTAATGATAGAATAATAAAACAAGATCCTTTTTTTATTTTTTCTTTCTCATTTCATTTTAACAGACAGATGCTTTCTATAAGAATCAAAAATAACTAGAAAGCATTAAGGGCTGAAATTACTTTCAGCCTTTAAAAATATAGGATATTCTAGAGAGTATTAAGGCCTTGATAGTTATCAATCAGTGTTGTCAGTAAGCATTTGAATAAATATGGCCTCTTCATTTACAGTTTGATAAAGAGTACCTGTGCAAGTAATTGCCAGAAAAAGTGGACTAGCAAGAGACTTAAGAGGTTTACTCAGTTAAACAACAAAAAGCTCTCTGGACATCTTACAGCAGAAGCATTAAAGGCATTTTATTTGTACATGATTTTTGCATAATCCCTTATAGGAATTCAGATATTATTTGTTAAAATAAATTTATGTGTCCAAAATAGAATAACTATGAGTATTTCCCTCCAAAATTTCCCTTCAGATTATAAATACTGCACGTGTAGAGCAGTGGCACTCAGTCACACCAGCCTGACAATCATTTTCATTATAAAAGGCAAAATAAAGACATTCCACCACCATATTCAGAAGCTGTGACCTACTCAGTTTGACAGTCTGCTGTAGATGAAATTACAGCAATACAACATGAAAGAAGCAACAACTAATTGAGACTGATATCAGCTGTTGAGAACTTTAAACCACATAACATTATTATATAATGCACGTAGCCAAGGGCACATGTTAGCAGATAACTTGTATAACTATTCAGTCTAATCCACAGAGTTTAAAGGCATATTCTAGCCGTGGTTTCCTTTATTTAAGGTCCAGCAGCATCGAAGCAGGGTTCTCCAAGTAAGATTTCCACAAGTTAGAAAACCGGGCCATTGTAGCTCCGTCAATGATGCGATGATCAGCTGACCAACTCACATTCATTATTTGTGCTTTAATTACTTCACCTTTGCTATTAAACCGAGGAAGAACCTAAAAATCAGAGGAGGGACAAAACCAGAACTATTAAATGTAATATTTTCATTAGCAAATCTGCCTTTTTTGTTCTTGCTGATTTGTTGATCTAAATTAAAACATTTTGCTGAATTAGACAGACAGCAGTAGCACCATGCTAAAAACCAAGACCTTTCCACTACTTTTTGTGGTGTGGATTAGAATATATTGCAAGCCTGCATAATAAACAGTCATAGCCTTTTTCCACCATCATGGAAATACTGAAGTAGTAAGAGTTTCCAGAGCTTCTTCCTGAATAGTTTATTGCACTTTCCTTAAAAGTGCAGTTTCCTTAAAGCACCTCTTAAAAAATGCTCAGAGGAGGAACATAGAAATAATTTCAGTTAATACTAATTTCATTTCCAGCACTGAGCTCCAATGTCTATATTAAAGAATTCAAGCCTGAGATTCAGAAAATATAAAACTGCCTTCACATCCAAAATTCTGTATGGAGACAGCTACCTGGCTTATGAAATTGAACTTCTTTTTCAGAATACTTCTCAAGTTTTCTCCCTGCTGATAGCAAAATTGCTATTGCCATGTTGCAAAACTTGCAGAACTGTATTTATATTGTTTCTTACTAATCCGAAGGCTAAACACAGATGTGAGAGAAATATATCAGGATTCTGGAAAATAAATATGAACCTTTGGTGTAAGAGACATCCAATTAAACATTTGGTGTGTGCATAGTCATTTTAAAAGACCACAAACTTTTCAGTTATGAGCTATGCATTTTCTCTGCAACAAAGACTCCATGTTCCATTTTCATTAAGATGACCTTAGCTAACACTCGCATACTGAGATAAAGTTAATATACCTGTATCTTTCCAAGTGCTCCAATAGCTACTTCAGGAGGTAGTATCACTGGTTTGGCATAAGTGCCACCAATCTAGAAAAGAAAAAGGGGGGAATATTATTTAACAACTTTTTTAACGCAGATTGTCTCTTGAATTAATTGCTACAGATTTTATTCTTTGAATATTAAACTTCAATAAAGTTGCATTTCAGAAGCAGCTCTCATTTTCCCTGTACTTACTGTGCCAATATTTGAAAGGGTGAACGTTCCCCCAGTGAGGTCACTTGTTCCCAGCTGGCCTGCAGAGCCCAAGGACTGGAGGCGATTTAATTCCACAGCAACGTCAAACACACTGCAGACTTGAACGTTTTTCACATTTGGGACAATTAAACCTTGCTCTGTGTCCATTGCAACTCCAATGTTGTGTGAAGCCTGCAGCAAGTGCCATTAACCAGACATTAATATGAGCTGTCAACATAAAAGGTATTTTAGGTAAAAAGCCACTTCAATCACATTTTCCTTATTTATCTTTTTTACTTGGAAAATGCTGTATTTAGTAAGCAACTACTGCATACAACTTTGTGGAGAGAAAGGATATAATTGTTTTTAAATTAGCCTCACACCTGCAAACTCTAAATTGATGTTGACAATTCCACCTTCAGAGAATACAAAGTCCTGGAATCAACTTCACAATGAAAACATTGCACTTTAGGATGATCATATGTGTAACAAAACATAAATAGCATATTTCAAAGACAACACTAAAATTAAAAAGAAGAAAAAAAAGAAATTTGGTGTGTGCATAGTCATCTAAAAACACCACAAACTTTTCAATCATGAGCTATGGAGTTTCTCTGCAACAAAGGGAGACTCCATGTTCCATTTCCATTACAGATGACCTTAGCTCACTCTCTTTTCATTTATTGGAAGGAATATAAGGATGCTGAGAGATATTTATAAAACAGCACAAAAAAAGTTTGTACTGCAAGGTGCAAGTACACATCACCTAAGAAAATAGATACTTCCTTCCCAGAAGTATCAATCCAGCAGCTTGTATAAAACTACACAACTTTTACCAAGACTGTACTTTAATATATAAGGGTTGAGTGTTGGAACAGTTGAACTACTGTGCACAAAAAAACCCAAAAATTGTTGTATTATATTTGAAATGTTCTCATTTTAAAAGCTTGGCCCATATTCAAGTGAAAAATAGGAAATTAATGTATTAATATGCATTTTTGAGGCAAGTCTGAATAACAAAGTTGCTCTTACCTAACAAACTAGTGAAATAAGGCCAACAATAAATCAAATATAGATCTCAAAATCTGAACACACAAATTATTTCCCTGCACAACATCATAATTTTG